AGGATCATGATGAATGGCTACCAAATCCAATGCTTCGCAGAAGTCCAAAGGGTCGACCTGAGTCCACTCGAATTCATACCAGTATGGATTTTCATGCTATAGAGAGAGGTCAAGCAAAGAGATGCGGATTATGTAGGGGTGAAGGCCATTCAAAAAACAATTGTCCTAATTTACCAAGATATAGGCCTCATCATTAGTAATCATATGTATTTCTATGTATTTATTAATCATTATAAAAATGATTTAATAATGATTTAAATATTTAATGATTTGATGATTTAGTAATGATTTGATAATAATCATTATAGTAATGATTTGATAATAATCATTATAATAATGATTTAGTAATAATCATTATAAAAATGATTTAATAATGATTTAAATTTTTAATAATTTGATGATTTAGTAATGATTTGATAATAATCATTATAGTAATGATTTGATAATAATCATTATAATAATGATTTAGTAATAATCATTATAAAATGATTTAATAATGATTTAAATATTTAATGATTTGATGATTTAGTAATGATTTGATAATAATCATTATAATAATGATTTTATAATAATTATTTAGTTATTATTTAGTAATTATTTATAATAATGATTTAATACTAATGATTTAATAATTATTACTAATAATTATAGAATACTAACAAATGAGTGTACAAGTGTGGATTACTGAGTTTAAATTTATACATAGTCGAATTTATTAATGATTTTTAAATATTTAATGATTTGATACTAATGATTTACTAATTATTATTAATAAGGATTTATTGTTAATATTTAATTATTTGATACTAATGATTTAAAATAGTTGATTTACTAAATATTTAATTATTTGATACTAGTAATGATTTGATACTAAAATCATTGTTAAGGTTAAAAAAGTAGTCTAATTTCAATAAATAATTTGTAATAAATAGCAAACGAGTTTACAATTGTTGTCGATGTCGGGGTGTTGTTGAATGATAATGTCGGGGCAGACGTCTGATACGTTGTGGCCGTTGTGGCTCAGGAGTATTGTACCCATCCCCCTCATTCATTGGGGGTATTTGAACTGTCATGTGTTCAAATTCATACGTCGACGAAAACGTAGGAGAATAGATGGGTGCCTCAGGCTGCACAAACTCTGGTATGTATGCCGGGCCAGTAGAATCATCAACTGCGTGATGCAACGATTGTGGTGCGCTATTATCCACATCGGTCATTTCCGCTTCAGTTTGTAGAGATGAACTCCCACTCCCACTCGGTAGAGAGTATTCAGCTTTACCAAATCTTTTCTTAAACCTAAAAAATTGTCGCCTCTCTACTATTGTTGTGAGGAACGGCTTTCCATTATCCAAAAAATAAGCAAGGTAAGCCGAAGTCTCAAAATTAAAGTCGTCGTCTTGAATGGCGTCAAGAGTTGGCATGAATGAAGCCCTATTGTTCCAAGCATTAATGTAGGTTGCATGCTTCTCAACCCAATTAACGCTTTCTTTACGACGACCATCAAATCTGTGCAGGTCGTCATGCGTCTCAACCCAATTCACTGGACGACGACCATCTAAGTTTTGGAGGAGGTCATGATCCCATGGACTCCGCGGAATAGGTTGGTGGAAGTGGAATTGCCTCAGCACTCTATCCCCAAATTGGATCTCAACAAAAGCAAAATTGATCAATGGTGTAACAGCACACCAATATTGAAACCCATCTAAAATATCGTGCGGTATCAACACAAATAATTCTTCATTCATGTATGGTCTCCAATTAAACTGTAAAATTACAAAAACAATAAAATTTATTTAAATTAGATAATATAGTTAATTTAAATAATAATTAAAAAATACAAATTATGCATACCTCCTTTTTGGCCTTAATGTCGATCTTCAACCTGAACTCTTTAATGTTGTTGTGAACCAACCCTGTGCCTTCAATTTTATGCCTCCATCTGTATATCAATCAAAACAAAAATAGAGACATTTTGTTCAATAATTTTATTCAAAATAAATATTTTTAATTAATATTTATATTAAAATAGAGGATTCATTTTACCTTCCGGCAAGTGGAAAGTCAACCGCAGTCCGACTAATCGGTGTCAAAAACGGAAGTCTATGCCAAGCCCATGATTGTAGCAGCAACAGACATCCACCGATTTCTACTGTATTATTATCATTCACGACTAATGACGCCTTGCACATCTCTGGATACAAGAACGCCAATATCGTCGAACCCCAGCTATATTGCCTACAATTCTCAAAATTTGTTAAAAAAAGAAGATACTGAGTGTGAACATAACTACCGGATTTATCAGGCATCAAAATTCCCCCAATCAATTGTAATATATATGCTCGTGTTGCATATATAATTTCGTGCTCCGTACTATTTGATTGAAGTTGAAATTCATTCTTCAACCATGACAACCTCACCCGCCACCCTTTACACTCTGGTGGTACGGGCGCTTTCCCAAGAAACAAGTTGCAAAGTTGTTCCACCTTATTAAACTCATGTGACATTACCACCGGCATCCCATTAGTTTGGACCCCGAGTTGCATTGCCACATCCTCCAAAGTTATCGTGCATTCGCCACACGACAAATGAAACGTGTGCGTTTCTGGTCTCCAACGTTCAATCAACGCACTGATCAAACCTGGGACCAACTTGTAATCTCGCACAAATGTGATATACCAAAATCCAGCCTCTTGCAAATTTTCTTCTATTAGTGGGTGTGGCTTGGGCACTTTATGTAGTCGAAGACGAAGGACTCGCTGCTCGTCCTCCTACAATTAAATATTTCAAAAAAATTATCACAATCATAAAATAATATTTAAATATTTATTAATTATAATTCATTAAACAAATATTTTATTCACCATTATTCCCAAATGACTTGAAATATGTTCATTGTCAAGCCTCAACAGTGGAATTTGGTCAGCCATTGGAATGAATCTGTAAAAAAAATTAAACAACAATATTTAAAAAATCATTTAATATAATCTAATATAAACTAACTAACTAATTTACAACACTAAACTTTAATATAATAACTTATAATATAATAAACTAACAAACTAAACTTTTTAAAATATAAGTTAAACGTAAACGCTAAACCCTTAAACAACTAATAAAATATTCTTCTATATAACTAAAACTAACTAATAAACTATTTTTCATTATAATATACTACTAATAAACTTACTAACTAATTTTTATATAATATAAATTCAACAAACAAATATAACTTAACTATTTAACTAACACAAACTAATTAAATAATTTTTTTATATAACTAACTATTAACAAAACAAACTAATTAATTATTTTTTAACTATATAACTATCAAACATATATTAATTAAATAATTTTTAATTTATGTATACTATAACTTAAACTAACAATCATATAACCATAAACTAACAAACTAATTAGCTACTTTTTGTTTTACCCTAAACCCTAAACTAACAAATTAAACATTTATAATAATAAACTAATTTAAATATAAAAAAATTTACCTTATCTCCCTTTCTTCTTCTTACTTTCCTTTCTCCCTTTCTTTCTTTCCTTTCTCCCTTTCTTTCTTTCTCGGCTGCAATCTCTTCTCCCTTTCTTCTGCAATCTCTTCTCCCTTTATTTCTTTCTTTTATAACCGGCTGCCTCAATTATTTCACCAACCGGCTGCCTCAATTATTTCACCAATAATTGTACAATTGCAGCTATGATATTTCACGCAGCAATGGTTCAATTATTGTACCAATTATTTCACATGCATGCATTGACTCAAATGGTTCACATGGTTTCATTGGGAGCTGTAGGCATGCAGCATGCAGCGGGGAGCACGTGAAGGAATCTATGTGGCTGCATGTGCATGGATGATGGGAATGGCGCCGGGACTACATGGCGACCTACAAGGTCGCCGGGACTACATGGCGACCTACAAGGTCGCCGGGACTACATGGCGACCTACAAGGTCGCCGGGACTACATGGCACCTACAAGGTCGCCTAGGCTGCATGGCGACCTCTCTATTCCTCGTATAGGACTGCATGGCGACCTCGCATGGGGAGAACCATTGGCTCATATGGCTCGTATGCATGGGGAGAACCATTGGCTCGTATGGCTCGTATGCATGGGGAGAACCATTGGCTCGTATGGCTCGTATGTCACCCCGTATGTCACCGGAGAACCATTGGCTCGTATGGCTCGTATGCATGGGGAGAACCATTGGCTCGTATGGCTCGTATGCATGGGGAGAACCATTGGCTCGTATAGCTCGTATGTCACCCCGTATGTCGCCTGGATTGCATGGCGTCCTACAAGGTCGCCCGGATGCCATGGCGACCTCCAAGGCCACTGTAGAATTCACCCCATTCCAGCAATTAATCTGGGATGTGCACCATTTCGTGAAAAAAAAAATCGAGAACATTATCTCGTGAATTTACCCCTTTAACCCAATCATTCTCTCTCTCTCATCTTTAATTCATTTGCTACAAGTTTCGCTGGTCAGATTATAATAATGCTATCTCTCTATTTACCCTGCAGGCTGCAGCTAGGAAGCTAGGTGCATAGTCCGTAGCCTTATAGGCCTGCCTTTTCAATTATTTTCTATTTACTTACTGTTTCTGTCAGGGGGTGGGGCTTCTCTCTACCTCCCATTACTCAGCACCTTTTTCGAGTAACGCCTTTACTCTCCTCTCCTCTTCTCTTAAACCAAACAAACAAATGCTCAATTTATTCTCACAGGGCCCACCAATCAATGGAGTGACTGGCACAATGGGCTTTCCTTGGCCGACGACTTTAAAACCGAACACTTCATTACCAGTCCATCGTCGTCCATATACATATAACATCCATTATTCATATTATGTAATACACACGCACATAAGGGTAACATATTTTGAACGTTGGACCAGGAGCTTTGGTTATGGTTTACTATGGTTCACTTTTGCCTATATGTTTACAGAAACATCGTTAACGCAATTTACTTGCAATTCAAGACCATTGGCACAGGCAAAATGTAGAATAAAACAATTAATTACAAAGCATCTGCTGTTAACGTTCTCAATCACTTGTTCTTCAGTGTTTCATGTCTAATTTGAATTCTTACGAAATGAAAGATTGAGGTGGTCAATAAAGAGTAGATGCTTCATGCTCTCCAGTTGTTGCCTCTCTTTCTCCATCAGCAAATCCATCTCCTCAAAGCGCACAATCTTGTCCTGGATCTCTTTCATCTGCACAGTTTAGGGTATACAGTACATAACTATAAAAACCAGCATCCTAAACACTGATCTTTAAAATCTTACATACCTGCACTTCTGTAATCTCAGTAATTGCTCTTTCAATATCTTGTTCTTTCTTGTCAAGTTGTGATTTTGCATCTGCATATGCTCTTTCCAATACATTTTGGTTGGTGTCGCCATTAGATGTAATTTCTGATTCTGTGCCACAATGAGATAAAGCCTCAGCCATATGCCAGTCTAACCAATAAAAACCCGACAAAACTGTGAGCAAAAGATACTAGATGATCCGTTTTATTTATCTATATCTCTATAAACATATATTTTTATTTCTCAACGTTTGGATGGTTCATTGTGGAAATGTCCAAAAAGTAAACTACTTGGAGCGAACACTTCTTTGCATATCAAATGTTAAATTGGCCTGACTAACATGTAAACCTTTTTGCTGCTAGTCACAAGCAAGGAAACTTAATAAAGTTTTACATCATCCGTTGGATGATAGGGGTGAGCTGCTTATTGATAACTAATAAGCCGCAGTACCATGTTAAAAAAGATGATACCTCCAAGAAATCGTGAGTCTTAGATCCAATCAGGAGACAATGCAACTCAATTAGTAAATGTTGCAATGCTAGGAAGTTAGGGTAAAACCAAGAGGCGTTCAAACCTTGTTTTGTGTTTCTTTCAAAAGATCCATTACCCCCTCTGCTAGCTGTGATGTCATCAACCTTAGATAGAATCAGTGCTTATTGAGTTGGATGCTTAGCAAATTCCTAGTCCATGTTACATTATGTTCGAGTTGAACAAGAAAAAAGCCATACCTGAGCCATGATAGGGTTGCTTGCATCTGCAAGAGGTGTGAGGCGCATCCTTTTATTAGTTTCAAATCCAAACTCAGCTTCATCAGAAAATGGATTACCAAGATACTCCTCCCCAAAAGGAAGTTTAACAAAATGAGCCACACATTCCTTCTCGGTTCTACCACCAACATGCTGCGCAGCCTTCTTCCAGTCATCACCATAATGCAAAATAGCCTCAAGAAGCAGCAGGGTCTCTTTTTCTGACCAATCTGCCTTGGCTTCATCACTGATCTCCACCCGCCTGAAATCAGCATTGCTTAGACCAACCCTAAAGTTGCCCCGAACATAGCACCTTGCACACAGGGTGGAGTCATACTGCACAACAAAGGAGGATTAAAAAAACTCAGCAGCTCGGGGCATCTCAATAGTTAACATAATGCTGTGTCCTTTCCTTAATTAAAAGTAAGATGATTCTTATAAATTAGACTTGAGAATAAAAGGAAACACTAGTAGAAAAGGGTAACAAGAATAAGTTATTAAAAAGACCTTGTCGCAAACGAAGCAAGCAATGGTACAAAGGGACTTGCAGGCCCCGCAAAACCGCCGAGAAGTAGAGGACTGCTTGGGGGTGGGAGCAGCCGTAGAAGGGGATTCGAGAGAAGGGGAATCGGAGGATTTATTATTAGAAGCGGTATCTTTGGAGTGCTTGGAGACAGCCGAAGAGGCAGAGTAATTGATGAGACCCCAGTGGTCGAGGAAATCGAAAACCCTTCGAATGGACCCAACATCGCCAACGAGATTCCTCCTGGCGTTAGTGAAGGTAACCTTACGGTAAGGGTTTTCCCTGAATAACTTTATAATTGAGTTCCTGTAATACATGTAAAGATTGGGGCCTTTGGACGGCGACCGTCCATCGAAGAACTCCGGGAGGAAGCGGGACTCGCAAGAGTCTATCTTGTCCCACGAGAACCACCCTGTTCATTTTAACCCAAACCCCAAAAAAAAAAATCAAACGAACAACATTATTTGACAAAATGCAAGTGAGAAAAAAATTGGGGGAGGGGGGAAGAAGGAAGGATAAGAAAACAGAGCACTTACGGGAGTAGCTAGGGACATGAATGACGTCAGCATCGACGACGGGAGGACGGCTTATGGGAGTGGAAGGGATATCGGAGTTGGGTGGCGTTGGGGTGGTCAGTTTGGCGGAGAACTGGGGAGATGGCTTCAACTGGTTTGAGTTCGAGATGGGGATGCTCTCCGATGAAGCAGCTTCTTTTACCGGAGATTTTTCCGCCATTGCTTCCGTCCTTTCTTTCCTCTGTCGGGTTCTACTATGATATTTACGACCCGCTTCCCAGTAACAGCACCTTTTACAACAATATTCATAAAATCTCAATTATTATTTTTGAAATAAGGGTAAACTATGCAAATAGCCTCATTTGTTTTCGGTAGATAATCTTTGGTCACTAATTTAAAAATTAAAAATAAATGACCTTTTATATTATTGATTCGATTGATTTAAGTCTTCTATTGTTAACCTCTAAACGGATATGTGACATGACAATTTAAAAATAATAAATAAATCCCATAAGTCACCAACTGTAAGTAATATGAAAACACCCTTCTTTAAATTTAAAATAATAAATAAATCTCATATATATTACAGGAACAAATTAGGGATTAGAAACTAAAAACCCTAACATCCTTTTTCCTATAACATAAAGAATAAACGAGGGAGAATAGGCAGAAGAAGAAACATGGAAGAAGAGGTAGAACAAAAAGAGATAGAAAAAGAAAAAAAAATAAAAAACATTGGTGTATCTATTTTTCGATGTGGACAACCAGCTGAGATTATTACTTCTTGGACAATAGATAACCCATCTAGGAGATTCTTTGGTCGTAGAAATTGTGACAAAGGATCAAACACCCATTGCTGATTCTTTGTTTGATACGATGCTCCTGTGACACCTCGTACAAGAGTGGTCATTTTTTGGATGTTAAGAAAAATGAATTAAATGGAAACGAAAGGGAGAATTTGTTGATTTTTTTTGTTGATTTTGTGTATGATGATAATGTGGGTTAAGAAGTAAATTAGGTGAAGGTGGAAAGTAATCGGTGAAGGTGATTTTGTGTGTGGATGACGGTGAGAAGGAATTGGTGAAATGGGTTGTGTATATGTGATGGTGGGGAAGGGTGGTGGTAAAATGGGTTTTGTACGAGTGATGGTGATAAAGAATCGATGAAACAATTTTGTGTAATTGGTGAAATGGTTGTGTATGATTAATGGATGACATTGATTTTGTGTAATCGTTGTATTAGCAATTTAAACTGATTAACTTTGAAGCTTAAATTATTGTTCATGGTTTTATGTTCATGATTTTAGTAAAGTCATAAAAATGAGGAGATAGATTGAAGACAAAAATGAGAGAACATGATATAAATTCAAGGCAAATATTCATTATTGAGACAAATGTGAGAAAAATGTGTTATATAGATAAACTGATAAACATGATAAATCAACTACAAAATATATCTAGTTTAGGAGCTTATACACCTGATAAATCGGCTACAAAAGGAAGTTCATTCACAAAATGAGTTACCCTAACTTAGCAAACACAAAATACTTTGTCCAAACTAAACTACCATTCACAAAATAAGGATGATCAATTAGGTGTTGTTGTTGATCCTTGAGTTGAAGGGCTAGACACGGTGGACTGTTGATTGTAACCCACATTTAACATTCATGTAACAATCTTGATGGAGAAAAAGGTTCTTGTCTTCTTATTGGCATTTTGTCCCTTCGATGTTGATGACACGTTGCGACTGGTGTGGTTGCTAAGAATGTTGAGGTTGTTCAGGTTCTTGCTGCTTAATTGCATGAAATAAGGCCTTTTTTGCTGGTACTCCGTGGATGTTGGATATGTACATCCTAACCCGAGTATATATATTTTTTTCTTTTGTCTTTATATTTGGAGTGCTAAATCCATGCGTTGTTTGCTGGATGCTTATCACACATCAAAAGAGTAGAAGTGTATGACCAACATAAAATCAGAGTATTCAAAGGTTCTTGTAGAGGCCTACAGGGTGGACATTCAATACACTTTCAAAGTATAATCACTCGGGTGTATAATGATTCGTGAAACCTAATGCCAAACTTTTGAAAACTGTTATTTGTTGGATAAACAGTGTTGCCTTGTAAATTAGGGCATGGTTAGTAGACGGATGGAGGAAGTGGGATCAACCCTGTGTAGAACTGGATTGAATAATGCCCTTCGAAACTAGAAAAATTAAGCTTTTAAGGGCCATGCCTGTAGCTTTTGCTCCTGGTGTTCATAGATTTGAGACCACCTCTTTTTCAGGGTGAGTTGTTTTATGCATCTAGGTTAATGCGCTTATGATAGATTCATCAATGAGAACTGATGTTTTAACATGGCATGTCTCAATAGAACTGGTGCCACATAAAAGAAGAGTTTGGAGCCAACGATTTATGATGTTTATTCTGTCTGATCCCCTCCATATATAGAAATTGGTGGTTAAATCATAATGTCTGTTTTGGACGGGTACGTATATTATGAAATGCAAAAACTTAACAAGTTCTGCTTAATCATCATAACTAATTATTGTCAGATTTGAGATTGGAGATCTCTGTTGTTTATAAATTTTTGGACGGATGAATCATTACTGAACTAGTGTCAACTTTTCAGGCGTTTGCTGTAGCAGGATATGGTGGTTGGAAGCTTCAAGGAATAGTGACGCCCAGAAGTAACCTGTATGGGCATTCAGAAAGGTTTGAACAAATATCATCTCCCCTCCCCTCCGGCGTTAGCTAGAGAAAGCGTTGCTATACGGTGTAAACCAGGTTCCAGTCCCTACAGATCTTTGTTATTTTCACCTTGCTGGTAGCATCTGTTGAAATCTACCTTGATCAAAACATAGCTGTCCAAGTTTGTACAGGTTTGAATGTGTTATAGATGGATGGCTATCTTAAAACAGCTATGTTTTGAACATTCTAATACATAATAACTGTTTACCGAATAGATGGATGGCTATCTGTTTCAAGATCAACACACACACGTCTCATTTATATATATATATATCAAATAATTATTCACAAAATATTATATGAAGTATACTAATAATTTAAAAACACTTAACAGTGTTTTAATTCCATTTATAAAAAAACATTCTTATATGCGATAACTATTAAACATAAGATGAAATAGAATAGAATAGAGTCCAAGAGATTGGATTAGGTTTTACCAACCAAACAACCAATCAAAAATTACTTTAGCATCTGATGCTACGATCCCTATAAACACCACGGTGTCTCCTATTAAATTTACGCATTGTTAAGGCTAAAGCAGTCTTCCTTTGCAGAAGAAAGTCTAAAACCAAACCTAAGGCATTCCTGTTCCGAAACAAGTCCAATATTTGGCGTTTCAATATTTTCATATGCTTATATATATATATACATCAACATTTAATCTGAAATAGCCCTGAAAAATACAAGCTTTCACTCGATTCAAATATAAACACATCATCAAAACATAAATCAACTTATTTTTCACAATTTCTCTTCATCACGATTCTCACAAATGAAATCAAATTTACAATCAAATGGAGAACGCATGTACATGGATTATATAAACCACACTTTGACGCAGTATTCAGGGGCTATCAAATTAAACAAGGAACTAAAAGAATGTTTAAAGTTACATGAACCAGATGTATTTCTTTCTTTCTTTTTTTTGAAAATGAGAACTCAAACTTCAATTGCAGCAACCACCACCTTGAGAAGAAGAACCATCTCGGCCTCCAGAAGGCCCTGGAATCCCACTGTATCCAACTTTTATGCCGTAAGACTTCAAACCATTAAGAAGAAATGTCAGCAACAGAATTCACGCATTCTATCCATGTAACATGGAAAAGCAACATAAACAGAACAATTCTTTTTCATCTTTTGTATTCGAACTTAAGTGACTTCCATTATAAGTCTGCATCAAGTGTTGCAATATCCACTTCCACACACCATTCAAACTTTCAAAACTAGTGAAAGAATAATATTGATAATGGTATAACACTGTTGAAGAATGGCAATAGTCTGGGACCAAGATCTAGGTAGTCTTTAAGGACACCTAAATGTAAGGCAACTTTTCTTACACCCAACATAAACCAATATTACCCATGAAGCTCATCAACCTTCCTACCCACACTTCAACTCTTAGTTATCAAACCAGTTGTGTAATGTTTTACTTGGAATTATATTTCTGCAGTCAATATGCATATTCCATTTTATCTTATTAAATTGTAATATTGCATCACCTTCAAAAGCAATGGTCATTGACAAAGTGGAAGTGCAATTGTTTGCAGCACAGAAACAATGACCAATTACCTTTTTAGCAATTCTGATTAAAAAATCACTGGTAGAATTAAGGATCTTGCATTTCAAAAATAGAGCAGTGTGATAACTCTGATGTAAACGTGACATCTACCGTTGTTTCTCAAATCCATGGATTTGCTGGGTGCCTATTTAGCAACGAATGGGAAATCCTATAAGTATTTGTGAATTTGAAATTCTAAACATAGCATATAAGTAGGACAAACAAACTCTTATCTTAGTAACAATTAACAAGGTATTCCTGAAAGTTGCTTTCAAACATGAAGAACTATGTAAATAGAATAAAATAGTCTTCGGATTTATTTATTATCATTTTTTCTTTGAATTATATGGTTAGTAGAGCATTTATTATCACTTTTTTCTTTGAATTATATGGTTAGTAGAGCTTAAAACTGACAATTATCAGAAAATTCACTACTAGGGAAAAATAAAATAAAGAAGCAATATTCTTCACCCCTTCATCATTTCAAGCTACTATAGAAGTTCATAACACAATCAACCAAACTCTTCAGAATGGTCATCAGGCATGAATAACTATATACCATATGGATTTATTGGAACTGAATTTAATTAAATGTGACTAATTTGAAACATTAAAAATAAATAATCTAAGGAGATATAAAAGTGGATGAGAGAGATAACCTCATTCGAGACATCAAAAACTCCATCCTGAATCTTTGTGTATATGGTTGCAGCAGTTTTTATAAATGCCTGCATAATAAGAGAAAAGGGAATAAAAATAGTTGGTAGTGGTAAAGCATAGAATAGGAACCAGAAGAGACGTTAAGTATAAACGGAGGGCAGACCTCCTCAACATTCTGAGCAGTTTTAGCAGAGGCCTCCATGAAGATCAAACCATGCTCCTTTGCAAATTGCTCGCCTTCCTCAGTGGTTACAGCCCTCCTATGAGCAAGGTCAGACTTGTTACCAATGAGCATGATGGTCATGTTAGCATTAGCATGCTGCCTGGCATCCTCCAACCAGCTAGCCAAGTGATTAAAAGTTTCCCTCCTGTGTAGAATCAAATCAATTATCAAATTAGACTTAAAAATTGTTTGGAGATGTCCAGACATGAATATGATAAAAGTTACCTGGTAATATCGTAGACAAGCAGGGCACCAGCAGCTCCTCTATAGTATGACCTGGTAATGGATCTGAAGGATTCTTGACCTGCCTGCCCATGTATATAAAATAATAAATTAGATAAGCACACAAATATTAAAAGAGAAAAAGAGAGAAAGAGGGAGAAAATTACGGTGTCCCAGATTTGGAGCTTAATGGGTTTGTTGTCGATGGTGATCATCCTGGCCCCAAATTCAACACCTATGGTAAGATCGTGTACCGGCTGAAACCGCTTGTCGGTGAACTGAAGAAGAAGACATGATTTCCCCACTCCTATAAAAATCAGATCAGATCAGATCAAATCAAATCAGATGAGAGATCATCAAAGCCATATCAGATGGCGAATTCATCAATAATCGACAATAATGATAACAAATGAGAAAGAAGAGATTGACTATATATACCGGTATCTCCGATGATTATGTACTTGAAAAGGTAAGCGTAAGACATTCTGATTCTGCTTGAGAAGAAAAGACGACAACGACGACGACCGAGTCACCAAACAAAAAAACAAAAATATAGGGGAAAACAAACTGATATTATCTTTGGTTGGTTTGGATGATCTGAACCTGGAATCCGATTTTAACTGAGAAAAGCCCTAGGAGGTGGACAGCGTAAACTCGGCAAGGCCAGAATGTCATTTGATTAACTAAACTAAAAAAAAAACCCTGATGGAACCTTTACGAATGCTTCGTCGTGATACTAATTTATATCAAAGTGACGTATTCCTTTAGGCATCTCAAAAAATAATACTTCAACGAAGTTAAAACTCTTTATTCAAACTCGGTGTACATGCTTTTAGTCTATACTATTACAAATGATGCCCCAATTTTAGTGTTATTTAAATTATAATAATAATAAGTGTTCTTTTAATAATAAGTGTTATTTAAATGACCATCCAGCTCAGTTGGTAGAGCACAAGGTTCTTAACTTTGAGGTCGTGGGATCGAGTCCCACGGAGGACATCTCATAATTCAGAGGTCTCTTACGGAAGCTGCTCTCAACCTGGTGTTGGGGTAGCCTACTATTTTACCTCCCCTTAACCCATACATATGGGAAAAAGGGACAATCATTTAATAAGTGTTCTTTTAATTTTTTTTCTGTTGTTTAAAAAGTGAAGACGATCGATTTTTTTCTTCCAATTATCGATACTTGATTTATTAATTGATTATTTTAGATCGAATTTTGTAAAGATTTATTGTGAGACGATTGTTTCAATTCAGTTTGCTCTATTTGCAAATATCAAGATTTAAATTTCTGACCTTATTCAAGGGACTTATGTTTTATACCATTAAACCAACTGATTATTGGAGATGATGTCAATTTTAATTAAGTGATGGTTATTAATATTTTTACTTTTTATTTTTTATATGTTATTTTATTTTAATAGATTTTTTCCTTTTCAATAAAATACGGATTTTAATAAAAAAATAATAATATTGAAACACGCTTGTGGTGATTAAAATATTCTAATATTAATGATAATAATTGAATTTCACATTACAAATCAAAATGTTATAAACAAATAATTAGGAGTTAGTAAGAGATGGCAATGTCCCAAGATGAGTTGAATGTGGGAGGGATGGTTATGGTAAGAAGATATTGTAGCGCATCGAAGTTAAAATCCACAGGTTTCATGTTAATGGTACTAGAGACGGGCTTGCAATTAGAGTATGCCCCAAAGCAACCTGCTCCTCTACCCTTAACATGTAGTGTATATTTAGTAGAACCGGAAGTATCGGTGGCAGTGGAGCCCTCGACATACTCCAGGGCTCCCCCAGAATTGTACATGTTCACTAACCCAATCGCAGCGAACTCGATTTCTTCATTGTAAACCTGTGATTGTCACTTTGTTGTTAAATTAATCAGCAAAAAAACAAATTCACAAGTGAACTTGATGCCATGTATCAACGCAAAACCTTGATAGGAGATACAGTCAACACATCACACTCCAAAGGTTTTAATGCAACGGTCAATGATCCTTCCATCGGCAATCGAGAAACACCACCTGTTTTGAAGGAAAAGACTGCACTTTCGCTGCTCCATATCTGACCTGATACCTCCTCAAAATACTCAATGCAAGCCGGAGAGACCTGTCCGGAGAGCTCGGTGCCGGGAGCCGTCTGGTCTCCCTTGTTTGTGGAAGGCACTGGCCAGCTTCCTTGACAATTGAAGATGCCAATAACTCCAGTACATTTGTTCAAGTTCCATGTTTTAAGAAGACTACAAACAAACGCTCCCAACATCTGGATATTAATTTAGGAATCTGCAAATTTGTATGCACTACAAGAGGGACTCAAATTCAATGTACCTCGTCCCATCCGTGACCGGATCAGTGAATAAACAATCTCGAGACGGTCTTCCGGCATATTTGGCTCTTAGTACTGATCCATCAAGAAGTACAAGCCTCCGCAGTATCTCAAAATCATGCCGTCCAGGTTTATCACTGTTATCAAAAACACATGTATAAATACATACATACAACGTATATTTGTGGTCAGACACCGTGGTATTCGTATTTATTCGCGAGCAGAAAAACAGAAACAGGGGGAGGCAGATAACCAGGAATGTCATAATGCTATATCTCAAGTCTCAGGGACATGTTTCATGTACTTGTATAACTAACAACAAGCTTAACTACACAGTTATAACACCATCGAAAAACGTTTACCTGACATACACTCCACAGCCTCCCACTGCTCTAGCGACCGCGTGAAACTCTGCTGCATCATGGAGACTCTAGAAAGTTGTTAAGAAGCTTATCAAAATACCATGAGATGGATTTTTACAGATAAAATAAGGAAAGAAAAGGATGGCATGCCATACATAAAACATATCCCAATCTGAGACAACCAATTCACCAAGAAGAATGCTGTTAAAAGCCACAGCAGCTACATGTTGCGCCCATGTTGTCGGTTGCTTAGGGTAGAAGTCATCTGAGGCTCGTGAGATTGCGCTTTGTTTTAAGCTGCGGCAACAAAACCGTAACTAATCAACATGTTTCTCTAGAACAGTTACTATCAATTGAAACAGCATGAGCTGAACATAAAGTAAATTCATGTTACACAACCAGTCTAAAAAAAATTCACTCAACTGCTATGAAAGAGTGATGAGACCTAAACAAACAGACATAATACTTTATTTGCTTGGTTCTTCTAGCAGTTACAAGCAACCCTAGATTCAGAAAAGTTGAACTAGCAGTCTTATTTTTTTTTAAAAAAAATGGAAATATTGGTAAGTTAAGAACAAGTTATATACTGGTAAATCGAGTCTGTGCTCTGAGCCATGCAACAAATAATGCCGTTGTCACTGAAGTTGGCTGCTATAGACCTTTCAAGTGCTTGATGGACTCGTCTTGCAAGTGACACACTGCCTCCTAAACCTTCGGAGATGGTTTCTAATATGTTCTGAGAATCAACTTTAACCCCATCAACATCTTGTGAAGCAAGGTACCCGTGTAGGTCATCATAAAACCGAGACATTGTTTCAGGATCAACCACACCAATACCATACTTCCCCATAGAATCCATTGCAATATCCCTCAAATTTTCTAAATACACCGGTGAGAGTATAGGGTATCGCAATCTTGGATCATAAGTTTTAGTTCCCGCCGCTTTTGGATCAAGGCCGCCCCAATACCCATGCAGTGCATGCCAAACATAAACATACCTGACAAATCAGAAAATAACACAGGGTAAGAAGAAAATCTCGTGCAGTTGTCAAATATATACAAGTGAAAGGTCTAGAAAAAACTTACTTTAGGTTAAAAGTGCTCTTAGTATCTGAAATAAACTGCTTGAGATCACCAGGAGCCTTTCTTTGAACTTCATTTTCTATTCTCTGAAATTTCTTATTTTCCTTAATGCTTTGCAATCTGCTACCAAACCTGATATTTAGAGGGAGATATCACGAATCAATATATGTTGTTTAAAATGATTAGATAGAATAAATGGAGGAAGAGTGTACTTACTGTAACCCGTCGATAAACGGCTCCCCTAGTTCCAGAAACTCGTTAACTGTATCTTGCCAACCATCATCTATTAGCAGAAACTTTGCAGGTGTCCCTCCCTGGGATAAACTGTAAGAGACAGAATAGAAGAGAGAGAACATGAACAAAAATGTAAAAATTAACAACAAAGGTGTGGAAGTAATATGAACATTGTTATTGTTTTTCACCTCATTTGCCCTTCTTTAATTCCTTGGGGATTAACGTCAGAGTAGAATGCATCCCATGTGCACCAACCGAACCAATCTAGAAACCCAGGCATCTGCACTTCAAAAGCCATTACATGTTTCAGTTTTCTCGTTCTGTTTTCATATTAGCTAGCGTTAGTTTATGCCTAGAAATTGGTAGGCCAATAACTTACCTGTTTCGTTTCACGGAGGGCAAAGGTCCCTAACTGCTTCTCCAGAATCCTGGAGATATAATATATAGTTCAAATCAAAACATAATCATATCATGTCTATCTGCTACATATATGAACTCCAACAATTCGTAAACACTCCGACGTTTTTCAGAGATTTTACCTACATCATAGAATCTTTCACCAAATCAAATGGATGGTCTCCGTAATTCATAAAGATTGCTTTCAGGGATTGTGATGTAACAATTGCAGGGTCGCCTATTAAAAGAAAAAAAAGAGTCCAAATCATTAGGGAAACTAATGAAACCAAAAGTGAAAATTAGGATGTGTGGCAAGTGGCAGCCTTAGCTTAACCAACAAATACTAACCGCTTTCGACACAAAACTCAAGTTCATCTGAAGAGTTGCCTTGCAAACTGCTTCTAAAATTGTCATCCAGAACAGGCAAGAAAAGGATATAATTAGGTCCGTGAGAAGCTGCTCCTTGTTTTGCTTCCAAGAGTAGCATCTGAGTCTCAAGAGGAATGTCGCTTGCCGAACTTCCTGTCCGGGTATCATCCACCAAAGTTTAAATCTAAACAGACAGAGTAGCCTCACATCCCTGCATACATGATATGAAATGATAACACATTTGGATAATCTAAAATAAATGAAATGATAACACATTTGGATAATCTAAAATAAACAAACAATTATTTAGTGAATGAAAGAAATTTTCTAAATTTACTTAAAAGGAGTGATTACTTGATGATGACTCCTAGCTTGAAAACATGTCGGGAGCTGGTGTGGGAGGAAGTAGCGCCGACAAAAGCTGCGGTATCCGTTAATGACGTGACAACGATGTTTTGTGGGACACCCATCAGGGTATCCTCGCCATTGATACTGAGATTCCCATCTTTTAGGTCGGGTGTGGTTGCAAGCAACATGTGCCGTCTCCACATCTGGTTCCGGTTGAAAAGCAAAGACCTGTGGGAGAACAAATTCAACTTATTCTGGCTTAGGTTATTAGTACTGGGCAGAAATGGAGCGCTGAAAGGAGAAGTATTGGGTGGCTGAGACAGGACATTAGCGGCGGTGGCGTGAACCAGCTGCGTCGCCCTCCTCATGCTTATTCCGGGAGCTAAAAGCCGTTAAGAAGGAAAAATATTGATATGATATATATATATATATATATTTGCATATATGAGATAATATGTGATGACACTTGGTTGTTCATAATTGATAGAAAGGCGAGAGGATTGGATTAGATTAGACATTAGGACGCTCCTTTCCCTTTCCTTGCTCGTCCTCATTTACCTTCTTTCTTCACTTCGCTTTCCACGTCCACATCAACACTGCTCACATTTTGTCACTTTCATCACTCATTTTTTTCGTTTTTTTTACAACCAGTAAAAGGAACCCTGTTTACAACTTTTGAAATCTTATAACGAGAAGGAACCTTAATTCAATTCAAATATATCACTTATATGCAAAACTTCATATGCATGCAGAAATAAGAATGCTATAGTAAAAAGGGTTCTATTTTACAAGAACTTCTAATTAAGCATCCAAGGCAAAAAGCAACACATTTCTTGGTTACATTACTGAAATCTTAGTTACACGTTAAGCTTTACTGACACATTCCTTGAACAGAAATGTTTCGCAACTTTTTTATTTTAGTGAGCATGGTGGCATCTTACGTGTCTTGGACTTGAATTTCTCCATCTGAATCTGATACAGTTTGTATGGTAAATTGCTCGGTTCGAGTTTTTCACAGCAACTTGTAGTCCGAAGCCCAGCCCAGGCCAACATTATTCTAGTAAAGTTCTAGAAGTAAATAAAAGTCCACACAACAACGTGGCACCGAAGACATAGCCACGTGTGTAAAGCAAAACATGCCACACACAGACAATAATCGTCATCAGGATGGATATATTCAAAGCTAAATCTATACTAAAACACGTTTCTGTTTGCTTTTCATTTGCGTTTGATAACTACAACTGTCTGTCTGTAGCTGCAACTCGTCCACCATGGCTAATTTATCACAGCCAGACGCAACCTCTCACACCACCGGCTCCGCCACTCAAAACCCACCACCACCTCAACAGCAGCTAAACGTTCACTCTGACGATCATCATGCCTTTTCATTCTCTCCTGTAACCCTCCAAAAGCTGCCTCATCTGAGTGAGTACCTGGAAGACCCCCAATATGCAGGCCCCAATCCACTCGACAGTAACCCATTCTTCCATCCTTCTGACGGCTTCTACATGAACTCATCCGATGTAGTTCTCCGCCACATCGTCAGCCGCCTCTCTCCCTCTGGAACGCTAGATTCTCCTTCTCACCACTTGGCATATATCAGAGCTGGTCCTCGTAAAAACATCTTCTTTGACCCTACTGCCACCAGGGCTGCTATAGTTACATGTGGGGGACTCTGTCCTGGGATGAATACGGTCTTAAGGGAGCTGGTTGTTGGCCTTTGGGACCTCTATGGGGTGCGCCAAATATATGGTATTAAAGCTGGTTACAGAGGTTTCTACTCCACTCCCCCTGTTGAACTCAGTCCTAAGATGGTACATAACTGGCATATGAGAGGCGGGACTGTGCTTGGAACCTCTAGGGGTGGCTTTGATCTCACAAAGATTGTTGATGGTATTCAGAACCACGGCTTTGATCAGGTTTGTTTGTTATGTGCTCTGCCCTTTATGTGTATGTATATAAGTATGTATGTATAATATGTAGTTCCTAAAGCAATTATTGTTATATATGTATGTTAATCCATAACATCCTGCGTTCTGGGTGGGTTTCTTTAGGTTTACATTATAGGCGGAGATGGCACAATGCGTGGTGCTATCAAAATATTCGAGGAGATTCGGCGGCGGAAGCTGAGAGTAGGAGTTACGGGAATTCCTAAAACTGTAGACAACGATGTGGGTATAATCGATAGATCATTTGGATTCCAGACAGCTGTAGAAATGGCACAGCAAGCAATCCATGCAGCTCATGTGGAGGCGGAGAGTGCAGTGAATGGAATCGGATTAGTGAAGCTAATGGGTCGAAACACAGGGCATATAACCCTTCATGCTACGTTGAGCAGCAGAGACGTAGACTGCTGTTTAATTCCCGAAACTGGGTTTTATTTGGAAGGGAAGGGAGGGTTATTCGAATTCCTTGAACAGAGGCTGAAAGAGAGGGGGCATGCAGTGGTGGTCATTGCTGAAGGGGCAGGGCAGGATTTAATACCCAGAACCAAATCCCAGGAAGAGGAAAGGGACGATTCGGGCAACCGGGTTTTCCTAGATGTCGGTGCGTGGTTGAAGTCGGAGCTGAAGAAATGGTGGGACAGAGACCATCCACAGGAGTTGTTTACTGTGAAGTACATAGATCCTACTTACATGATACGTGCAGTGGCCGCAAATGCTACGGACAATTTGTACTGTACACTTGTGGCTCACTCGGCTATTCATGGGGTAATGGCGGGATATACCGGTTTTGTGACTGGTCCTATAAACGGAAACCATGCATATATCCCGTTGATAGATGTGGCACAGACTAAGAATGAAGTGAACGTTAAGGACCATAAATGGGAATGGGTCAGGTCTGTCACCAATCAGCCTGATTTTCTCAAGCCCTAGACAATTTCATTTTATATTGTTTTTACTTCATTTCAGTCTGGTAGTAGCACAGTGGCAGAAATTACTACGACAGCAGTTATCTGTGTCGATATTAGCTGATATGTTTGTATAAATTTTAATAATCCATATAGAAGGAAAAGGAGATTCAGTACACAAATATCAACAAGCCCATCATCATGCAACAAACGATTCAGCATTAGTACCAGGAAAAGCCAATCAGTAGACACGAGCACGCATCTCATTTTGGATTTTTTTTTTCAAATCGGCTAGGACTGAACTACACCTAAATTATTTAAAAATCCGGAACCAAATGTTCGTTGGAATAGAGTACAAGAAGAAGATTGACTATAACATGAAGATGAATAAATGAGCATAGAATGGAAGAGTGGGAAATGCTCCAGACACTTTCGTTTCTGGAAACTGCAGACTCTATTTCTGCCTCTTATAAATCTTTGCCAAGAAAGACTTCAACACTGCTTGCATTGCTTTGCTAGGATGAGCATAGATTGAGGTTACAAGTTTCTCTTAGCTTGAGCTTTCGTACTACTCAAATACACCCTGTCCCTGTCAATAATGATAACAGTAGCAAACAAATCAACCATTTCCTGCTTTTTTTTCTATGTTGCAAGAAGAAATCTAGAATAATATCAAACCTTGATATTAAGCTCATTGTATAGAGCCCTCACTTTAGCAACATTGACAGGAACTGGTTTCCCGTAGTTTTCCTGGGAGCACACCATAACATCAAATGAGTAACAAAACCTTATCAAATTTTATTAGCAAATAACAAAACTGACAGAACTGTTCCAATCTTACATATAATACTTTCTTTTGCTCCTCGTTACAGATTTCCAATGCTTTAACCACCAACCAAGAGCACTTAAAAATCTTCAATGTCGGTTCCAATCTGAGATTGCGCAGAGTCTGAGTAAGACTGTGCATAAAACAAACTACAAGTGCTTTCAAAGTTTCAGTGGAAGAATTTTAGTTCCATACTCCATATCTCACCTTACCAATGGTCTCAGGTCGCCAAAGCAATCCAATAGTCATCCTGCAAACATGGAGAAAATCAAATTTAGCATGTTGGATCTGGTGAAAAAGGAAGAGCATTGACTCCACCTACCAAGAAAGCAGATCGAAAGCACATTTGGGAATCATAAATTATGCTGAGTAATGCCTAAAATAAACTTTCTAAAAGCTCCATTTAAATCACAGATCTCTAAAAGTTCAATAGAGCCTGTGACAGGTTTTAACACCTAAACTATTAAATTTATTGAATTCAGCTTTCAGTTCTCTCATGTATCCACTTTATTTGCAGAATAAAATTGTATATGCTAAAAGTTGGACGAATTTGGCCAGATATTACCTGTACTTGGAAGTAGATTCCCATGTCAACAAGAATGTCAACAAGAATGTTCTTTACATCGATGTGATTGTCAAGATTTTCACCCGCCATAACCAGTGCACATGAAACCTGCGTTCATTCAGGTGATATAAGAGGCAGGTTGCTCATACAACCATCAGACTCAGAAGTAAATGATTAAATGTATTAAGAGAAAGTGTCGTATGTAAATTTATTAGATGTAAGTGCCACCCAGAATGATATATGGAGAAATAGAAACAATATGGTTGGTCTGAAAGGTGATATAGCCAGTAAAGCAGAGGCTCATTAATCCAACTAACAAACTACGTACATAAGCATGTGTAAAGAATATCCAAGAGTACATGCAAGATGCAAGGAGAACATGTGCTTTATCGATTTGGCAGAATTTGAGTTACTAGGCCTGGAGCAATATCGTTAGAACGGTAGCCATGTCCCTTTCTAAAACAGTGCAGAAGAAAAGACTGCAAACAATTCAATGTGCACGCTTCAAGTGAAATGGAGACTGATACTCACAGGAAGATAAAAAGAATAATAGGCAGTCTTGAACTGAACAATGCGTCGGTGCCTGGAGATATTTAACCAAAATATAGATGAGGACATACATAAGAACTACTACCGGAAAGAGTTGAAATGGAAAACTGAAACAAGGCGAAAGATGGAATTTAATCGCTGTTTGAGTAACAATATAATAAATCACTCTTTCATTACCCTTATCCCGAAAAAGATGAGCTCAGAAAGTATTGAGGACTTTAGACCGATTAGCCTAGTCGGAGGGCTTTATAAGATTTTATCGAAGGTGTTATCTAGGAGATTACGGCGATGTATGGATGCAGTAGTTGGCCCTTCCCAATTCTCCTTCATTCTAGGGAGGCATATTATGGATTGTTCGTGTTGTGCAATCTACCAATAACTAATCAAAGAACGAACACAGAACAAGAATCCAGAAAACAAACCAGAAAATCAAGAACACCAAAATATTTACGTGGTTCGGTCAGTGTGACCTACATCCACAGGAAGGAATCAATTTCACCAAAGCAAACGAAACAAGATTACAAGATTTAGAACCAGAAGTAAGAACTCTCTCTAAATCTCTCAATACAATTTGATCCCTCCTTTTTTAACCCTCTCAACTCACTTACATCTTTATTTATAACTAAAGACCCTCTCCAAGTTGATCGGTTCAACAACCAACTGTCAAAGTCAATGACAGTTATAACTGAATTAGTTTTGGCTTCCATCTGTCGCAACCACCTTTTGATTTATACCATTGCCTTATTCCAGTAACTTGTAAGTCATTTCAACAATTCTCCACCTTGACTCTCAATTACAAACCTCCAAAAAAGATTCCCTCCTCTCAGCCCCAAAGGGCTTTCACTTCTCAGTTGAGTTCACTAAGTCCAGATAGTGTCTGAACTTAGCTACTGGCAGTGCCTTTGTGAGCATGTCAGCTGGATTTTCTTCAGTGGGTATCTTCTTCACTATTATCGAACCTTTAGCAACAACATCCCCCACAAAATGGAGTTTCACGTCTATATGTTTAGATCTCTCGTGAAAGACCTGGTTCTTTGTCAAGTGGATTGTGCTTTGATTATCACAGAACACGGTTACAACCTTCTGCTGTATACCAAGTTCTTCAACCATGCCCTTTAGCCACATAGCCTCCTTAATTGCTTCTGTCACAGCAATGTATTCAGCCTCAGTTGTTGAAAGAGCTACAACAGATTGGAGATTGGATTTCCAGCTGACTGCAATACCAAAGACTGTGAAAACGAATCCGGTTAGTGACTTCCTAGTGTCAATGCTCCCTGCATAATCAGAGTCCACATAGCCAACCACTTTCTCCCTTTCATTTTCTTGTTTCTTAAACAACAGTCCTAACTCAATAGAACCCCTTAAGTATCTCAGGGTCCACTTCAAAGCTTCCCAGTGAGCTTGTCCAGGATTTGCCATGAATCTGCTTATAACACTGACAGCGTAAGCCAAGTCTGGTCTGCTGCTTATAACACTGACAGCGTAAGCCAAGTCTGGTCTACAGCAAACCATTCCATACATAATGCTACCAACCCCACTAGCATAAGGGACACTCTCCATGTATTTTTTTTCATCTTCACTCTCAGGTGCTTGAGAGTTTGACAATCTAAAATGTTGGCCAATTGGTGTTGTAACCTGCTTGGCCTTATTCATGTTGAACCTTATTAATACTTTCTGAATATATGACATCTGGGACAAGAACAGTCTGTTTTTCTTTCTATCTCTTGTGATTTCCATCCCTAAGATCTTCGTAGCAGGCCCCAAATCCTTCATATCAAATTCTGAGTTGAGCATATCTTTAATTTCTTGGACTTCCTCCTTGCTCTTGCTAGCTACTAACATATCATCCACATATAGGAGCAGATAAGTACTTATTTCACCATCTTGCTTCTTCATGTATACACAGCTGTCATAACTGCTTCTAACAAAACCAATCCTTAACATAAATTCATCAAATCTTTTATACCATTGTCTTGGGCTTTGTTTAAGTCCATACAGTGATTTCTTTAGTAAGCAGACTTTGTCCTTGGTTTCAAGAGTGCAATACCCATCTGGCTGGTCCATATAGATAGTTTCTTCTAACTCTCCATGTAAGAAAGCAATTTTAACATCTAATTGCTCCAGTTCCAAGTCATATTGAGCAACTAGTGCTAAAATCAACCTGATTGAGCAATGTTTTACAACCGGTGAAAAAAATTCGCTAAAGTCAATTCCTTCGACCTGTGTAAATCCCTTTGCAACAAGCCTGGCTTTATACCTGGCCTTTTCAACACTTGGTATGCCCTCCTTCTTTTTGAATATCCATTTGCAACCTACTACTCGTTGGTTCTTTGGTATGTTCACAAGCTCCCAGGTTTTATTTTTCATCAGAGAAGCTATTTCCTCATCCATTGCTTTAGTCCACTTATGTCTTTCCTTACTTTTCAGTGCTTCTTTGAAGTTGTTTGGTTCAGCCTCTTCAATCTCTTCTGCAACATTCAATGCGTAAGAGATCAGGTCTGCATGGCCATATTTGTCTGGTGGTCTGATGGTTCTTCTTTGTCTATCTCTCACCAGATTGTAGTCATCCAATCTGGTTTCCGGTTCAGCTTCTTGTTGGTTTTCTCCATCTTGATCATGCACTCCAGTCCTTTGATCAGCCATTGTTTTCTGTTGATGCAGCTCCACCTCAATTGGAATGCCCTCCTTAGTAACACTGTTCTTAATAACATAAATTTGCAGGTTCGCCATTTTGGACTCATCAAATACCACATCTCTACTAACGATACATTTCTGTTGGCCAGGCTCCATACACCACAGTTTATAACCCTTGGTTCCTTGTGGATAGCCAATAAAAATACACCTCAAAGCTCTTGCCTCCAATTTATCTTGTTTGATGTGAGCATATGCTAAACATCCAAAGACTTTGAGGTTGCTGTAGTTAATTGGTTTCCCATACCACATTTCCAAAGGGGTCTTCATTCCAATAGCTGTCGATGGGCATCTGTTAATAAGATAACAAGCTGTTGACACAGCTCCACCCCAAAAACTTTTGGGTAAACCAGCATTCAGTAGCATGCATCTCACTCTCTCTAGGAGAGTTCTATTCATCCTCTCGGCTAATCCATTCTGCTGAGGAGTATTTCGAACTGTCTTGTGCCTTGTAATGCCATTTTTCCTGCACAACTCATTAAACTGCTCTGAAAAATATTCCAGGCAATTGTCAGTTCTCAAATGCTTCAATTTTGTTTCCATCTTGTTT